AAATTAGAATTTAGCCAAAGTATATATGTTGTGCCATATGTTAGATTGAATTTACAATGATTAATATGACAATATAGATTAATGTATAGAATGTAGCCAAAAGAAAAGAAGAAAGAAGGGCATGTATAACAATTGAAGTTGATGGTCATGTAAGAGAATGCAAATTTATGGCATTAAGATTTGTATTTAGAAAGTTGTAGAAGGCATGTTTGTTACATTAGAAAAATATTAGAGAGTTGTTTAATGACATGGTTATGTGATATATAAGTTTGAGAAAATCTAGTAGTATCATTGGGCAAGTTAATAGACTTAATACCTAAGTTGTTTGTGGCATAGCTTTTTATAGAAGAAATTAGATTGCCCAAAATATAGAATTCATTCCCTAGTTGAATTGTGCCGTTTTAATATCTCACTAATAGAATTATAGAAGAGTAGAATTTGTGGGAGATAATGTAATTGTGTACGTGTACATTTTACATAGCATGATAGAATTGAAGAATTATAGGATTATGTAGAAATTATAGAATCGCGTACGTACACACGATGCATAGAATTCAGAAATAAAGAATAAAATAAAAATTGTTTAATTTAAGCGTGTTATTAGAATAGAACTTTGGGCTTTCCAGAAAAGTATAGAAATAAAAACCTTAGAATCAATAGAATACATGCTAGAGTTAGACACGTATTTTGGGATCATGCATAGACAACATATAAATGCATGACATAGCATAGTATATATTTCAGAAATTTTAAAATTACTGGAAAATTTCTAGCTAGTTATTTGTATAGATTTACAGAGCATGCTTTCAGAGGGCTAACCTAACTACTAAATTAATAACCTTACTAACCTAACTACTAAATTGCATATAGGGTGAGCAAGGGTTGATCCCACAGGGAATGATTCGATTAAATCATGTATTCTAACTAATAACCACAACGAAAACAATAGAAAAACAAAATAAAATAAAATCCTAAACAGTAAACATGACAACAAAATAATGAAAGGGGTTGTAGACAATGCAATCTAAAGTGAAACGAATAAATCTCCAATGGTAGAAAATATCAGATTAAAAACAATCAGTTCTCGGTTCAAGATCCACCTAAACATACATTGGACATGAACTAACCGTAGCATTATTCTATCTCGTTATTATGGAATTATTGACCCTAGGAAACAACAAGCTCTGTTACCAGAATTTTTCCTTAATTGTCACTATTAAAATAAGCTCTTCAATTAGATCCTAACTCTTGAACAACCTAGAATAAGCTCTCTAAGTTTAATTCAATGACAGCCTTAAGAATTAGGAAAATAGATCAATCCAAGCAACAATCATGCAAGATCGGATTATTTAACTTAGGTTATGTTATTCAAGGTGACAGACTGAAAACTTGTCCATAATCATCTATCATCATGTGTTACTCATTGAATAAAAAGAGGACAATTACATATCACAATTCCTAATTCTAACAGATAAAATTCCGATTAAACAATTTAGCAGTCCATTACTAAATCACCCAAACAAAAATCATAAACAATTAAAACAGAATAACATAAACAATTCAAATAAGAACGAGATTAAGAAAAGGTTTGGTGCGGCTTGGGTCTAAATGGGTGCAGGTTTAACGGGTATGGGCCCAAAACGGGTTGATCTAAACGAGTCCAAAATATTGGACCTATACCCTACCCTATACGGGTATAGGTGGACCTGCGGGTACGTGCACTATTCACCCCAGCTTTCAATTTTTACAATTAAACCCCCACAATTTATACATTTTTCATTTTTATAATCATACCCCATTCACCCAAACAACCTCTATCCAACCCACCAAATAGCCTCTAATCTTATTCACCAAACAACCTTTATCCTACCCACCAAACAACCCCCTTCTTCTCCCCAACACACCAAGAACACCATTCTCGATTTCAAGCTTTCAACAAACCATCACAAATAACTATTCACTACTGCCATCAACTGCCATTTCAACAACCATCATCATTCCCCATCCCTCAAACACTTCAAATTAAAAAGCAAGAAACCCAAATAAAGAATAATCTCAAAATCAAAACCAATATCAAACCATTAACAAAATAACAAAATACCCAAACCCCATACCAACACCACCACTGTCACAATCATCATCCACCACCACCATCCATGGCTTGAAGTCGTTGCCTTCAGCTGAAAAATTGGGTTTATTTTCAGAAATCTCTTCCAAGGTTTGGGTAAAATAAATCATTAAAAGGAAATTGTATTTAACTTCCACTTTTTCTTTTACTAATTTCTTATTGTAATTAAATCGATAGTTATATTATGATTAAAAAGAAATATCGAGAATTAAAAATTAATCTTAGAACTTGCAAGAAACCAAGTTGGATACTTTATTAAATGTGCACATTTGGTTTGACAGTAATTTTTCTTTTGCTTATTTGGTTTAAGAGTTAAGACAACAGTTTTAAAGTAGACTGCTGGCACCAATAATTTAAAGATAGGCCAAATAGCATTGTGACCCTTATTTTTGTACAAGGATTTTTTTTTTTCCTTTAGTTTCGGAAACATCTAATATTACCTTCTTTATCATAATTAAAACGTTATATTTAATGGTGAGAGGATAATCTTACCAATTCACCTAACGTATATAACATAAAAAAAAAATATATGATTTTGTATGAACTTTATAGGATTAAGTTTTTTTCATATTTGATGATTTACCTAATTTGTTAATAATTGTTATTTTTCATGAAATTTTTGGTAATTATTTTTAAAAATATTTATTCTTCTAATAATGAAAATAAGGGTAAAACTAGAATTTTAGTGGTAAAAGCTAATCAAATAGAAAATGAAATTCACTCACAGAGATTAACATTGGGTATTTCTTAAACCAAGGGGCGAAAAGTTTTTCACATAACGTTATTCCGCTTTTAAAGATAGAGCAAAATCTATTTTGGTGACTGAGGTATGGGCTAAGTAATAAGAGATAGTAACATTTAGGTTCTTATGAGGTTTAAGTTTTTTGAACTTTTTAGAAATGTCTAAAATACCTTAAATTTGTTTATATTTGTTCTTTTATAATTTGTAATTGCTCTAAATTTTTACTAAAACACTCAGTTAGCAATCGTTTATTTATTTGCATAATTCTATTAATTTTTAATTTCATTTAAGTAAGAAAAGTTTATGGATTTTTTAGACTTTTAAAAAAAAAAATTAAAAAGCTGTTGCCTCATAAGGACCTAAGTCTTACTATCAGATTCTATTGAATCGTATGTATTGGGGCCAAACTTCAAGGACCAAAATGTATTTAACTATTGAAGACAAGATCTCTTTATTAAAGATTTAAAGGTAAGATATGAATTCAACTGTTTCACGATGCTAAAGCTGGCCACCAATAGCTGCCGTTGCTTTCAAATCAGGTTGGACCCATAAATCAATAATTAGTAGATTTAAAGCTATCACCAGAGCTCAAGAAGTTAATTATAATTATATACTTCTTCTATCCATAAACGTGTTTGAATTTAATTAATAAAATCGCCCTTTATATAACTAATAATTCTTCAATATTAATCTATATCTAGCAAATGTGATTTTCTTTTGTTTTTTCATAATAAATTTTATTATTTTTTAATATTAAAAACATATTAATTAAAAGAGAAGATTACTTTAAACCCCCTGAGATTTGATCCAAACAAATAAACCCCTTGAGGTATTAGTATTAACTCAAAAACGCTTAACCACCAACTCTTCCATTGACGAAGATTGACCATGGGTGAGATGGGAAAGTGTACTTTACTTTACTCTTTATGGGTGGGAAAAACTTTTGGTGGGAAAATGTACTTTACTATCTATTTAACCACCAACCCTTCTGCAACTCTTATCCAAAATAAAAAAAAAAGAATGGGGAAGAGCAAGGTTCTAGTTGTTGGGGGCACGGGTCATATGGGGAGGAGAATTGTGACGGCAAGCTTAGCGCAGGGCCACATAACTTATGTGCTTCAAAGGCCAGAGATTGGGCTCGCCATTGACAAGCTTGAAATGCTTTTGTCTTTCAAGAAACAAGGGGCTCGCCTCATCGAGGGCTCGTTTTCGGATTACGGTAGCCTCGTTGAAGCTGTTAAAAAAGTTGACGTGGTGATCTCCGCCATGTCTGGAGAACATAATCATCCTGACAGCCATAACCTCCTTTTGCAGCTCAAGCTCGTTGAAGCTATCAAAGAAGCAGGAAATGTTAAGGTATATATATATATATATCTATCTTACAATAATTTCTTGAAAAAAAATAAATGAAAAAGTAAAACAATCAAAACCATTATATTTATTTTTTTATTCATTTTTTGTCATATCACTTTATAGAAATTTTTTTCTAAGATTTCTTTATAAATGTAATATTACTCGTTTAATAATGTTTCGATTTTTTTTCTTTAATCGTCATACTTAAAAGAATTAATTTAATAACGTTTTGGGTTAAAAGATTGATAACAATTTAAAATTTAAAGTCAAACCTTTAGGGGTTCAAATTAAATTTCATCAACTCCATTTATGTATATTGCTCCAAAACCTAAGCAAGGAATTAAAACGATTCAAGGATTTTACTCCGCTAAACCTAATTCTAATGGGTTGTATTGGACATGCTTTTATATGGGACGTGTGAATGAAAATCTGAAGAGGACTTGGACGGTTAATTTTGTTTACTTAATTTATTTTTGGTAGCGATTCTTGCCATCAGAATTTGGCATGGATGCAGCAAGGATGGGAAATGCAATTATACCAGGAAGAGCAATATTTGACGACAAAATGATAGTGAGAAAAGCAATAGAAGAAGCTAAAATCCCTTTCACTTATATTTCTGCTAATTGTTTTGCTGGTTACTTTGTTGGAAACCTTTCTCAGCTCATTGACTCTCTCGTCCCCCCAAAACAAAAGGTTTTCTTATACGGGGATGGCAATACTAAAGGTACAACCATTAATTTATTTCAATCTTCATTTATAAAAATCAATATATCTTTTGTGCAGAAACAATATTCTGTATGCAGTTGTTTATATGGACGAAGATGATATAGCAGCATATACGATTAAGACAATAGATGATCCTCGTGCGTTAAATAAAACTGTATTCTTGAGGCCACCAGAGAACATTCTCTCCCAAAGACAATTAGTTGAAATATGGGAAAAGCTGAGTGGGGAGAAACTAGAGAAAGTCCATCTTTCTGGAGAAGAATTCCTAGCATCCATGAAAGGTCTAAATTTAATTATAAGCTGGAAACAATGACTCATTAGATGATTTTTACTTGATTAATTAGAGAATTTTGTATGTTTGCATGCAGATATGGACTTTGCAGGACAAGTGCATGTAGCGCATTTCTATCACATATTCTATGAAGGTTGTTTAACTAACTTTGAAATTGGTGAAGGTCAGGAAGAAGCTTCAGAGCTTTACCCAGAGGTGAATTACACCAGGATGGATGACTACTTGAAACGATTTTTATAAAGATATTATATATCTGCAGCCAGTAGTTCATACCGTAAGCATTATTAAATCGACGTTTCCTGCTTCGGTCATTCATTTAATTTGCTTGTATTTCTCAGAGTGATTATGTTCCAGGCCATTATAGGATGATGGCAATGTATTGTATAATTATCTAGATTGGTTGCTAGTGAGTGATGGGTCACTGTTCTGAGGGCTAGCTTTAGCATTATGAAACTGACGTGAAAGTTCATTATCTTTGTCAAAGTATGTGATATTTTGCTGGAAACTATTTTACAATTAAGTTTGAATGTTTGGCGCCATATTTGAGTTGGATATAGGCTGTCTGTCAAATGCTGTTTTTTGGTTATTTTTTTGAATGTAATATGTGACAGTTTAGGTGAGGACAGCCGGTGATTTAGGCCAGCATATGTCATTGTAAATTTGTATTAGTTAGAGTTGTTTAGATTGCATTGTATTAGGAAAAAGTTCTCACTGTAGAGTGGTTGTAACAGTGATGAAAACATGGCTTTATATTTCTCTGTTGATGAACGAAAACATAGCAGACTTTGAACATAATTTTTCTCTCATTTTCAGCTCTCTCTTTCATGCATGTTAACCTTCTTTCTCTTAGCATATTCAGACTCAAAAACCTTCAACTGGTATCAGAGTTGATCTTGATCTTTCAGGACAAAAAAAAACCACCATAAGTGAAGCTTCCTCATGGCATCAAATCTTGCCCCACTTTCTCCTCCTATCTTCAATGGTGACCAGTACCATGTTTGGGCTGTCAAGATGAAAACCTACTTGAGAGGCCATGGTTTGTGGCAATATGTGGAGGAGGAGAAGCAAGTTCCCCAACTTGGACCAAACCCGATGCTGATCCAGATGAGAATCCACGAAGAAGAGGTAGCCAAGGCTTTAAGAGCTTTGTCTTGTATACACTCGGCTGTGACAGACCAAGTCTTCTCCAGAATCATGGCGTGTAGACCCCTAAACAAGCTTAGAACATCCTCAAGGAGGAGTTTGGAGGGAGTAGTCAGACTCGCAATATGCAAGTCTTAAACTTGAGGAGAGAATTTGAGGTACTCAAGATACAGGAGGCTAAATTTGTCAAGGAATATGTGGACAGACTTATGGCTGTGGTGAACAAAATTAAGCTATTTGGGGAAGAGCTGACTAACAAGAGGATAGTGGAGAAGGTCCTGGTCAATTTGCCTGAAAGGTTTGAAGCAAAAATTTCATCCCTAGAAGACTCTAAAGACTTGTCCCATATCAGCTTATCTGAACTAGTTCACTCACTTCAAGCCTAGGAGCAGAGAAGGCTGCTGAGGCAAGAAGACTCAACTAAGGCAACCATGGTTACAAGTCAAAAAGGAAGAGTGTACCAAAAGGAAGACAAGAAATATGGTGGTGAGAAGAAGGGAAAAGAGAAGAGCAATGATCATGGAGGAAAGCGTGGTGGACTGAAATCATTTCCTCCATGTTTACACTGCAAAAAGAGGAACCATCCAGAAAATAGGTGTTGATTCAGAATTGGCATACAATGCAGGTCATGTAAACAATTCGGTCACATAGAAAAAGTGTGTAAAAATAGAGGGAACCAGCAGGAGCAGCAGGTTACAATGGTTTAGGTCCAACAACCAAGTTCAGAGGCTGGGCAGCTTTTCATGGCCTCATGCTCGAACCAGAAGATGTGTGGTGATGTATGGTTGGTTGACAGTGGTTGTACAAACCACATGACCCCAAATCTATCAAACTTCGTGAGCATTGACAAGTCTTTTCAATCTAAAGTCAAGATTAGCAATGGAGAATTTGTGGACGTCAGGGGAAGAGGTGAAGTTGTTATCCCAACTCCATCAGGTACAAAATACATTTCAAATGTCCTTTATGTGCCTGAAAATAATCAAAGTTTGCTAAGTGTGGGTCAAATGTTAGAAAAGAACTACTCTTTGCATTTTCAGAACCTGTCAAGCATTGTAGTTGATAACCTTGGCAATGAATTGATGAAAGTGAGAATGTTAGGAAAAAGTTTTCCAATTGAATGGAAAAACTCAGTTTCACAAACCTTGTCTGCCAAACTTGATGAAACTTAAATTTGGCACAAGAGACTTGGCAATTTTCATTACACAGGTCTTAAGGAAATGAAGAGGAAAGGCCTTGTTCAAAACATGCTTGAAATTGAGGAGAAAGAAGGGGTGTGCCAAATCTATCAAATGGGCAAACTTAGTAGACAACCTTTTCCAGCAAACCAAGCCTGGAGAGCTGCTGAAAAACTTTAGCTCATACACACGGGTGTATGTGGTCCCATGCAGGTGTCTTCTTTGAATGGCAGTAGGTATTTCCTTCTGTTTATAGATGACTTCTCTAGGTTGTGCTGGGTTTATTTCCTGAAGCAAAAGGGAGAAGTGGCTGCAATGTTCAAGAGGTTTAAACAAATGGTGGAGAATGAAAAAAGTCTAAGCTTGAAAATTGTCTGGAGTGATAATGGTGCAGAATACACCTCAAACCAGTTTGAAGAACTATGTGTAGGAGCTGGAATAAAGCATCAACTGAGTACTCCTTACACACCACATCAAAATGGTGTGAGTGAAAGGAAAAACAGGACAATAATGGAGATGGCAAGATGCATGCTGTTTGAGAAAAAGCTTCTTAAACTTTTATAGGCAGAAGCTGTAAATACAACAATATACTTATTGAATAGGCTGCCAACTAAAGCCCTTGACAACAAAACACCATTTGAGGTTTGGTATGGAGTCAAGCCAAACATTAACAATCTTAAAGTGTTTGGAAGTATTTGTTATGCACACATACTAGCCAACGAGAGAAGTAAACTGGATGAGAGAGCTGAAACTGTAATATTTGTTGGGTACAACAGCTTGTCCAAAGCATATAGGATTTATAATCCTAAAACAAAGAAGTTTCTGGTTAACCGAGATGTGAAGGTAGTTGAAGGAGCTCTGTGGAATTGGGAAAGAAATGAAGTTGAGAAAAGTAAGATGCTAAAGCAAGGAGGAGACTTGACAGACAACTAGGATGCTTCAGATTTCAGCTCAGATTCTGAAGCAGATTCTCCAGTCAGAGGAACAAGGACTTTGGAAGAGATTTATGGGAAATGCAACATGGCCTTGATAGAACCAACATGCTATTATGAAGTAGCCAGAGTGGAGGAGTAAAGGACAACAATGGAAGAGGAACTTGGGATGATTGAGAAAAATGCAACCTGGGAACTGGTGGACAGACCTGTCGGGAGAAAAGTTATTCAAGTGACGTGGATTTATAAGAAGAAACTGAATACAGATAGTTCAATTAATAGGTACAAAGCAAGGCTTGTAGTAAAGGGTTATGCACAATAGTTCGGGGTGGACTTTTCTGACACTTTTGCACCAGTTGCAAGGCATGATACAATCAGACTTCTACTTGCAATTGCAGCCCAATTCAAGTGGAAAATTTTCCAACTTGATGTGAAGTCTGCTTTCCTAAATGGGTGGCTTAATGAAGAAATCTTTGTAGAGCAACCTGAAGGGTATAAAGTTAAAGGACAAGAGGATAAGGTGTATCTCCTTAGGATGGCTTTGTATGGTCTAAAACAGGCCCCTAGGACCTGGTACAGTAGGATTAATGAATACCTGGTGAGTTTGGGGTTTGCAAAGAGTCCAAATAAGCACACCCTATATGTTAGAGAGATTGGTGATGAGAGAATATTTGTATCCTTGTATGTTGATGACCTCCTAGTGACAGCAAGCAATTCCACACGGCTGCATGACTTCAAGAATGAGTTGCACAATGAACTTGAGATGACTGATTTAGGTGAAATGAGTTTCTCTTTTGGAATGGAAGTGTTTCAATCTCCTAATGGCATATTCATTTCCCAAAAGAAATATGCTAATGAACTTCTTAGAAAATTTGGAATGGAGAATTGCAAGTCTATCAACACACCACTGGTGCAAAATCAGAAGCTTTGTAAAGATGATGGAGCTGCTAAGGTTGATGAAACTAAGTACAGAAGCATTGTTGGGTGTTTGTTGTACTTGACTGCAACAAGGCCTGACATCATGTATGCAACAAGGCCTGACATCATGTATGCAACAAGGCCTGACATCATGTATGCATCAAGCTTACTCTTCAGATTTATGAATGGACCAAGTGAGCTGCATTTGTAAGCAGCAAAAAGGGTTCTCAAGAATGTTAAAGGCTGTCTAGACTTGGGAATTTGGTTCAGGAGAGCTGAAAACCTCAGCTTGTATGGTTTCACCGACAGTGACTGGGGTGGCTCTTTAGATGATATAAAGAGTACCTCTGGATATGTTTTTTTTTTCTTAAATGCAAGTGCCATAAGCTAGATTTCAAAAAAGCAGGAAGTTGTAGCACAATCAACTGTAGAAGTAGAATATGTTGTTGCTGCTGCTGCAGTCAACCAATTGGTTTGGCTGAGAAAATTTTTGAAGGATTTAAGGCTGGGACAGACTGAGGCTAATGTGATGTATTGTTACAACCAATCAGCAATTACAATGTCCAAAAATCCAGTCCTTTATGGCTACACAAAGCACATCAAAATCAAATATCATGCAGTGAGGGAGGCTGAGCAAAATGGTGAAGTAAAACTGATTCATTGCAAGGGAGAAGAGCAAGTGGCAGATATAATGACTAAGTCTATTGGCAAATCCATGTTTGAAGAATTAAGATTCAGACTTCAAGTTTCCAGCAAGAATATCAAGGAGGAGTGTCAAAGTATGTGATATTTTGCTGGAAACTATTTTGCAATTTAAGTTTGAATGTTTGGCGTCATATTTGAGTTGGATGTAGGTTGTCTATCAAATGCTATTTTTTGGTTATTTTTTTAATGTAATATGTGACAGTTTAGGTGAGGACAACCGGTGATTTAGGCCAGCATATGTCATTGTAAATTTGTATTAGTTAGAGTTGTTTAGATTGTATTTGGAAAAAGTTCTCACTGTAGAGTGGTTGTAATAGTGATGAAAACATGGCTTTATATTTCTCTGTTAATGAAAGAAAATAGAGTAGACTTTGAACATAATTTTTCTTTCATTTTCAGCTCTCTCTTTCA